CGCTGCCTGCCCACATGCCCGGATCTCCACAGGACAGCCCCACTCCTCCAGTCCTGCTTTCACCACCCGCATCTCCTCGGGACACCCCCGTTGTCCCCAGCCCTGCTTTCGCCGCCTGCCTGCCCGGATCTCTGTGTGACAGCCCCGCCACTCCCGACCCTGCTTTCGCCGCCTACCCGGATCTCCGCGGAAGAGCTGCGCCACTCCTAGCCCTGCTTTCGCTGCCCGCCCGCCTGCCCACATCTCCACTGGGACAGCCCTGCTGCCCCCAGCACTGCTTCCCAGCGGCCAGTTCCTTCCCCCCTCCTCCCAGCCCGCCCCACTCTGCTCCCCTCCCAGCAGCCATGCTGAGGCCCGGTATTTTTTTCCCGCAGCCCAGTACCAGGCCGCGGCCCATAGTTTGGGAAACGCTGATCTAGACCATCCCTGATAGACATTTATCTAACCTACTCTTAAATATCTCCACAGATGGGGATTCCACAACCTCCCTGGGCAATTTATTCCAGTGTTTGACCACCCTGACAGTTAGGAACTTTTTCCTAATGTCCAACCTAAACCCCCTTGCTGCAGTTTAAGCCCATTGCTTCTTGTTCTATCCTCAGAGGCCAAGATGAACACGTTTTCTCCCTCCTCCTCATGACACCCTTTTAGATACCTGAAAACGGCTATCATGTCCCCCCTCAGTCTTCTCTTTTCTAAACTAAACAAACCCATTTGTTTCAAGCTTCCTTCATAGGTCATGTTCTGTGGACCTTTAATCATTCTTGTTGCTCTTCTCTGAACCCTCTCCAATTTCTCCACACCTTTTTTGAAATGCGGTGCCCGGAACTGGACATAGTACTCCAACTGAGGCTTAACCATCACAGAGTAGAGTGGAAGAATGACTGCTCATGTCTTCCTCACAACACACCTGTTAATGCATCCCAGAATCATGTTTGCTTTTTTGGCAACAGCATCACACTGCTGACTCCTATTCAGTTTGTGGTCCACTATAACCCCTAGATCTCTTTCTGCCATAATCCTTTCTAGATAGTCGCTTCCATTTCTGAATGTGTGAAACTGATTGTTCCTGTGGAGCAATTTGCATTTGTCTTTATTAAACTTCAACATGTTTACCTCAGATCATTTCTCCAATTTGTCCAGATCATTTTGAATTATGACGCTATCCGCCAAAGCAGTCGCAACCCCTCCCACCTCGGTATCGTCTGCAAACATAATAAGCGTACTTTCTATGCCAATATCTAAATCGTTGATGAAGATATTGAAGAGAGCCGGTCCCAAAACAGACCCCTGTGGAACCCCACTTGTTATACCTTTCCAGCAGGATTGTGAACCATTAATAACTACTCTCTGACTATGGTTATCCAGCCAGTTATGCACCCACCTTATAGTAGACCCATCTAAGTTGTATTTGCCTAGTTTATTGATAAGAATATAATGCGAGACCGTATCAAACGCCTTACTAAAGTCTAGGTATACCACATCCACCGCTTCTCCCTTATCCACCAGACTCATTATCCTATCAAACAAAGCTATCAGATTGGTTTGACATGATTTGTTCTTTACAAATCCATGCTGGCTGTTCCCTATCACCTTGACACCTTCCACGTGTTTACAGATGATTTCCTTAATTACTTGCTCCATTATCTTCCCTGGCACAGAAGTTAAACTAACTGATTTGTAGTTTCCTGGGTTCTGATTTCCCTTTTTACAAATGGGCACTATATTTGCCCCTTTCCAGTCTTCTGGAATCTCTCCTGTCTCCCATGATTTTCCAAAGATAATAGCTAGAGGCTCAGATACCTCTTCTATCAGCTCCTTGAGTATTCTAGGATACATTTCATCAGGCCCTGGTGACTTGCAGGTATCTAACTTTCCTAGATTATTTTTAACTTGTTCTTTTTTTATTTTATCTTCTAAACCTACCCCTTTCCCACTAGCATTCACTATGTTAGGCATTCCTTCAGACTTCTTGGTGAAGACCGAAACAAAGAAGTCATTAAGCATCTCTGCTATTTCCAAGTTTCCTGTGACTGTTTCTCCTTCCTCACTGACCAGTGGGCCTACCAGGTCCTTGGTCTTCCTCTTGCTTCTAATGTATTTATAAAAAGTCTTCTTGTTTCCCTTTATTCCCATAGCTAGTTTGAGCTAATTTTGTGCCTTTGCCTTTCTAATCTTGACCCTGCATTCCAGTTTTGTTTGCCTATATTCATCCTTTGTAATTTGTCCTACTTTCCATTTTTATATGACTCCTTTTTAATTTTTAGATCATGCAAGATCTCGTGGTTAAGCCAAGACGGTCTTTTGCTGTATTTTCTATCTTTCCTATGCAGCGGAATAGCTTGCTTTTGGGCCCTTAACAATGTCTCTTTGAAAAACTGCCAACTCTCTTCAGTTGTTTTTGTTTTTCCCCTCAGTCTTGATTCCCACGGGACCTTATCTATCAGCTCTCTGAGGTTACCAAAATCCGCCTTCCTGAAATCCATTGTCTCTATTTTGCTGGTTTCCCTTCTACCTTCCAATTAAGGAACAATTGCCTCACAAAAGTACTGTACTTTAAAAAATAAAGTCATAGAGTTTCGGTCCATCAATGGCTATTAGCCAGGATAGGCAAGGATGATGTCCCTAGCTTCTGTCAGAAGCTGGGAATGGGTGACAAGGGATGAATCACTTGATGATTGTCTATTCTGATAATTCCCTCTGGGGCACCTGGCATTGGCCACTGTTGGAAGACAAGATACTGGGGTACATGGACCTTTGGGCTGACCTAGTATGACAGTTCTTATGTTTTTATGTACTTTCTTTAGACACATAATAGTGTCACAGAAAAGGGTTATCAAGGACTTGGTTTACACTTCAAAGTTTTGCTTCCATCACCAAGTTGGGCCCCAGCCAGTACAGCTATAGCAGCAAAACTCCTGGTGGAGATGCAGCTGTACTGATAGAATAGTGTTTTGCTGACATAGCCAGGGTCATTTACACGGGTGGTGAATCTCTGCCAACAAAAGATCTCCTTTGGCCAGCATACACCACATCTACACTAAGGTGGTTTGCTGACATTACTGTATTGGCACAGACTCTATAGTGTAGACAAGTCCATAGGCTTCTGGGTTTGTGATCAGTTTACATCATCAGAGTGGATGTAAAATAGCAGCATTGCAAGGGCAAATTCTCTCCAAATAATTGTAGCCACAGTGTTGCTTCTTCACTGCACCATAACACTACATTCTTAAACCTCATTGGGTTTGCTTTGGCACCAGTTTTCAGTATGATGGGGATTCATATACCGCACTTGTTGAGTTATAGTTAGAAAAGTTTTTTCAAAACACACCTTGTACAGAAATTTAAAATAAAAAACTTGATTCTGTTTTCATTTTCCATTAAAGCCAATGGCAAATCTACAAATGACCTCAATAAAAGTGTGACCAAGGATTCCCAATGTCTAAACACATTGATGACAATAGGGACCCGGTTCTCCAATACCTGATACCTTGTGCAATCATTTACACCTCAGGCGAAGGATGAGAGCACAGCAGATGTAAAATGCTACCATTTTCATTTAGTATCATATCACGCTAAATGTGCACAAGTGAATATCATTGTACATCAAGATGTGAGGCATCAGATTGGGCATCAGATGTGAGGAGTCAGGCCCCTGGGCAAATGGTTCCTGTATCTTTGCTGAGGGACAGATGCAGCCTAACTTTGGACCCTTAAACATTTGTGGAATCTCTTAAAAGAGTGTGATGAAGGATTCAAATATGAACTTCTTCCCCTTTTGCAGATATATTTGGAACTTACAATATGTTAATATAAAAACTATCTAAGAGTTTCCTGGAAAAACACTTATGCAATAGATTTATTTCCATAATATCCTGCCAAAAATTTCAAGTCTCTAGATAAAAGCTTTTCCTGTTATTCTCCAACAGCCTTGCTGCAACCTTCCTTTGATACTAATAATAAATATCATGTTCTGAGAAAGACATATATCTTTCTGGGTTCAACTATCCAAACTTTTAGACTGTAAAGGAGACAGTCTAGTTCTAATGTCTGAAAATACAGATATGAAGTGTCTGACCCTGCAAAGCAGCAAGTAGCCTCAGCTGCCTTGCTATTGTGTTATAGAAGAGTAGTTGCCTACAGAAGTAATATTGCTTATATAGCTGTGTTACCACACACAGTTATTAGCTGTTTCCCAAAACTGCATATTGGCAATACATATGGATATTATATATAATATTGTTTAGAAATATGACTCAACATTATAAAACGTATACATTTCATAAAAGGAAAAACTGAAAATTAATACTAAAGTCATTTACTTATAAGCAATATTTTATGAGCCTTTGATATAAAATACCAGACGATACCCATAATGCGAAGGAATTTTAGAAGCCTTCATAATGAGTACCCATTTACCTTCCAGATGTTATCTTCAGCCTGTAGCAATCCACAAAGCTTTCCCTCTGTCAGAAAATGACACTTTAACATAACGAGCACAGCATTATACTTATGGAATACCTCTGAAGGGAATCAGTTCTTTCCACAATAATCAACACTGCATTGTAAAGTTCAGAAAGTCCACCATTAAAACATAACTATATTAGCACAAATGCAATACATATTGTACTAATGCAATATTTTGAAATAGGTATCACAATGTGGAAAATATAGTGCTATAAAAACCACAAGAAGCTTCTTTCCTATATTTGAATTGTAAGTAAATGTTTAACTAGGGAAATAGGGACAAATAGTTTCAAATTTCAAGGGTAGTCTTTCATTTTAGTTACAAAGTTACCTGTATTCCACACAAATCTGGAGTCCTTTTTCTTCAACATTGTTTACATCAGAAATAAAGGATCACGTATGATGATAAAATTATTTATGCCAAAGGAATGGCTCTTACAGCATGGTCATTAATTATTTGTGTGTGATCTTTAATTTGACTCTCCTTCACACACTGAATTAAATTTAAATGTTAATATAGAAATTGAACCTACCTGGACAATTCAGAATGGAGAGACTCAGCAGGGTTGGTATGACTGGTCCTCTGCATGGATTCCTCTATTACACAACATGCCAGAGATTAGTGGAAACTTTATATACTTGCTTCTGCAATTCATGCCAATAGGAACAAGATATGCAACCTCATTTCAAGGTACCTCCCACTTTATAGAATTTATCAGTTAATGGACACGTAAAATGCTTAGTAATCAGTGCTTATCTGATGTGGTCTCCACTAACTAGAAAAACACTACTTGCATTACTAATCACTACATACAACAAGTAAAGCAACTTTTAAAAGTTTTTGTATAATAATGTAATAAGCCTGCTTGGCTAGTTACTATGCGTCCTTTCCCATAAACTTCTGGCAGAAAAGGATAGGGGTGCACTTGGCCAATAAAAGGCATTGAATGATTCACTTTAATTAACAACCAAAAAAGCAATGACAGATAGGGGACCAAAAACATGAACAGAAAGAGGTTGGAGGGAGCACAGAAGAGGAACTAGAGAAAGGCTGGCCAGGCAGCAAGACCTAAGAAATGACCAGAGGAAGAGCTGGAATAGCAGGAGCTGCTTTTTAATGAGGCAAGCAGCCATGAGATCTCCTACAGCAAAGAGGAGAAAGCAGAACAGTTGTGCAGCTACAAGAGAAGGCTGGAAGATGCTAAAGGGAGCCTCTGAGTGGCAGTTTCTGCTGTGGGAAAGAGCAGTCTGGGAGGTAGCCTGAGGAAATGACCAGCAGTCATTGAGAGAGCACAGGGAACAGGGTTTGTGAGATGAGGTGGTGGATGGAGGTGCAGTAGGTGTTACCCAGGTGCAGCCAATGTTACCCAGGAAAGCAAAATCTGCCGTGGAGAAGATGCAGGCCACCAAAGCAGCTAGATAGCAATGAGGCAATGCTGAAACTTGGCATGACTGTTGAGCAGCTTCCTGAAAACCAAACCCACACTCAGGCCTGTCAGACCAAAGCCCCAGAACTATCTCCCGCTCAAGAGAAGAGCAAAGTTGAAGGTGCATCTTGAGTATGAGATCTTACCAACCCTGGGGATGAGAGACTTTGTTCTTTCCTATTGCACTGACCCCTAACGGCCTTATTCAGGCATTATGCTGTACTTTCTCACTACCAAACAGAGTTATTCCTCATGGAATGAGGTTTATAGAAATTGGAATAAGCTGCCTATTATTTCGATATTATTTTGAAATAATGGAATTGCTATGTAGACGCTTGCATTGTTATATTTCCAAAATAACAGTGCAGTGTTGACACACCTTAAGGGTTCTAGTTTTATTTGTTTATGTGACACCTGTCCCCTTCTTCGATTCTGATTATCACAAACTGTAGCTAACTTTGAACTTGCTTTAGAACATAAGAACGGCAGTACTGGGTCAGACCAAAGGTCCATCTAGCCCAGTATCATGTCTGCCGACAGTGGCCAACACCAGGTGCCTCAGAGAGGGTGAATCAAAGACAATGATCAAGCGATTTGTCTCCTGCCATCTCTCTCCAGCCTCTGACAAACAGAGGCCAGGGACACCAATTCTATCGCGTGGCTAATAGCCTTTTATGGACCTAACCTCCATGAAATTATCTAGCTTCTCTTTAAACTCTGTTATAGTCCTAGCCTTCATAGCCTCCTCTGGCAAGGAGTTCCACAGGTTGACTACACGCTGTGTGAAGAAGAACTTTCTTTTATTAGTTTTAAACCTGCTACCCATTAACTTCATTTGGTGTCCTCTAGATCTTCTATTATGGGAACTAATAAATAACTTTTCTTTATCCACCCTCTCCACACCACTCATGATTTTATATACCTCTATCAAAGGTAGACTTCTTTTAAAGAAGTCTGCCTTGTATCTCCACAACAATTCAAGTACTTTCATATTTGATGTACACATTGTCTTCTGTAAATAAGTGAGGGTGGGTATCTTCCTACGACCTGCCCTCCAAGAAAGAGATGTTCCTGGTTACTATTTCTAGCTTGACAAGTCAGGGAGTACGTATGCACGCTCTTCATGAGTAGATGCAGATCCCCAGTATCAAAATACTTATATATCTCTAACCCTGGATCTTTTCCTGCAGTACAGCAGCAGTGTATAAGCTAAAGGCCAAATTTCAAGAATAGTTCTAGGATAAGCCTCTTCTTCGTCTTTCATACATTCAAGCAGCCACTGTCACACTCAGAGCAGTAGAATTATTTTTTAATATTCATTACAGCATGTTTTGGTTATCACCCCAGGGTTAAAGCCACAAGCCAAATGTCAAATTTGAGAAAGCAAAGAGGTTTTTGTCATATTGAATTAAGGAATACGAAGAGGGTAAGAATTTTGGCAATGTGATTTATATCCCCAGACAAACTACAGTACGCTTGGTGCTCTTCAGATCTATTTGCAATCTAATCAGGAGGCATCAAACTCGGCATTTATGAATAAGTTGAAAAGGATTGGTCTCAGGACTGACCCTTGGGGGACACCACTAGTTACCCCTCTCCATTCTGAAAAATTACCATTTATTCCTACCCTTTGTTTTCTGTCTTTTAACCAGTTCTCAGTCCAAGAAAGGACCTTCCCTCTTATCCCATGGCCATGTAATTTACACAAGAGCCTTTGGTGAGGGACCTTGTCAAAGGCTTTCTGAAAATCTAAGTATACTATATCTACTGGACCCCATTTTCTCCTTGTTTGCTTACCCCTTCAAAGAACTCTAATAGAT